CGTTTAACAAACATTTCTTCAACAGGAACACAGCTAGATCTTTCATTCCTAAAAATGATCATTAAAATCATAGTGCACTTCCATATTATTCCCATAGATACACACCTGGTTTCCATAAACATAGAGGAAGTGACTTCCTGGGTGAAAAAACATTCCAAAAGGCACAAAGTTAGGGTCTGGAAACCAGAATACAGGAAATTTTGTTTGCTTCTTCAGTTTGTGGTTTGTTATCTTGTACACTGAGACCATTGCTTTATTCTAAAGAGAAAAAGTTATTAGCCATAGACAGAGCCATTCACAGAGTCATTTAACCACAAGCATGCAGAACATCATAAGAGAAATAACGTACAGCACATTTAAGTCGTGTGAATTTGTCTGACTGGTGACAGTAATACACAGAACTCAGAGAGCAATCTGCACATTATCGTGTAACTGGGCATTTTGCTTTTTACTACCTAGTGTAATAGAAGCATTCACTAATTTCTCATAATCGAAGGGTAAGAATTTTGGGGCATTTAGAAAAGATGAAAATGTAAGTCCTGAATAGGGGGAAGAGGCTTGAATAAAGCAGAGGACTGAGAGCCAGGAATGCAGTGTTTGTTTCCAACTGTGCTGCAAGACATCCTGTGAATGGCAATTAAATATTTGCTATTCCTGGAAATATAGTTGCTGATAAAGAGCCATTTGCAGATAACCTTTTTCAGTGCAAGTCAATCCTGGGTTTATATTCAGAACTAAGAGAGAAATAGATCATCACTACTTTGCACTTCTGTAGAACATTCCATTCAAAGATTTCAAAAAGTGTCTGCAAACACTAGGGTGAAATTCATCACTAAGCCATCACTAAGCCAATGCACTACTTCCACACAGGCCTTGCTCTGGATTTCTGCATAGGGGAGATGAATACATTTTTATTATCCTCATTTTACAGATGGGGAAGCTACTGCAAAGAAAGCTGAAGTGACTTGCCCAAAAAGCAAACCAGTGAAAAAGTTAATGATAGAACTCAGCTCTCTTAAGATTCAGTTTCCTTCCTTTAACACTCACTGATACGGTTTGGCATCCTTCTTTCCATAAGATATTGTCTTGGATAGAACAGCATGGAAGGATGGGCAATTTAATTAATTTAAATTATAAATTAAAATTCAGATGTTGTAAATGGCTGAGATTGTGCTTGGAATTTCATACTGTACCTGAAGAGTTATAAGACCTACTCCAGTGTTCTGCTGATAGTCAACAAGAAATGCTACTACTCGGCTAGAAATTGTCTTTCCACCATGAAATTTATAGGGCAAGCAACTGTGCCAGTTTTTGTATGGATCATTACTATAGAAACAGGTAGATTCCTAAGAGGGAAAAAAATATGTGGTTAGATACTCAATATGGTTAAAGTCTGAATGGCTTTGTATGTAGTGTATCATAAGCCTGGTTTCAGAACAAAATGGAGGACCAGATGCTCAGCTAGTGTAATCTGGCTCAGCTCGTTTCATGTCAATGGAATTCCTGTGAGCATAAAACTTAATAAAACTACACAAGCCTTCACACAAATCCCTTCAGCAAGACCAATTCAGTCTTATTCTGATCCTGGATTTCTTTTTTTGAGCAGAAACTAACAACCTGTTGGAACCAAGCCAACTTCTATGTTGGATTTGTGATATGGACAAAGGGAACTATTCAGTAAATAGAAGTTAATGAGAATTTTCCTGGTATATTAAGGAAGTGGCTCAAGTAAACAATTGTAACTTTAGGCCCTTTTACCTGAAACCAGATCCACATAGACAGCCCTTTGTGCCCAAACAAAAGATAGGACTATGCAGCACTTTAAAGACTAACAAGATGGTTTATTAGGTGATGAGCTTTCGTGGGCCAGGCCCACTTCCTCAGATCAAATTGTGGCCCATGAAAGCTCATCACCTAATAAACCATCTTGTTAGTCTTTAAAGTGCTGCATAGTCCTATCTTTTGTTTGGGCACAAAGGGCTGTCTATGTGGATCTGGTTTCAGGTAAAAGGGCCTAAAGCTCAAGTGGAACTTAATGACTTCAGTGGGATCATATTGGTTCTGGGGCCACCAGTATGACCCAATGGAAGTATCATCAGGGTCATAGTATGAGCTAAATGTTAATTAGATATTAATTTGGTAAACAGATTTAAAGCTAGGAAATTAACTGGGGAACATGTAGTGTGCCAACTTTTTACTAATGAGCTATGGCATCAAGACTACTTGTTCAGACAAAAAATGGCAAACAAATAAGAAGTAAAATGGAGAATATATCAGTGGGAATAATATTGCATTAGTACTGCAGTTACAATCAATCAACCAATGCAAATCTTACCTGGTTTACTGCATTACCTTACCTGACTTAATGTCTTATCTTTGTTGAATGAAATGCTAATGTAATCCTCTAGAGGAAAAAAAAAGAAAAGGAATTATCTGCAAGTGAACATCTGTGTTTCTAAAGCATAGGAAATCAGAAATAGCTGTAATATAGTTTTGCAAAAAGACCAATATTGTTTTATTTTGATGGGACAAATTTCTCAGAATTGGGGTCATTTTTTCAAAACACCCAAATACCTAACATAGTCAACACTTTAAAATAAAATCTTATCAGTTTATAAAACATATCTGCCTATCTATAGCTATACATTTTACTTACACACACACACACACACACAGGTCATCACACAGAGAGAGGACCTATATCAGCTGATTTGGATTTAGGCAGGTTGGAAAGGTGGAAAAGGAATTATCTCTGTAATATGTGTCACATCACATCCAATCCTATAGAAACCCTTTCCTTGGGTTATCTGCAAGGTTCAATGTCCACCTAATTTTCCATCCCGCCAAAGTCTAGATAAGTAACACTGTATTCTCTTCCACCATTTGAAATTCCCCTTCTGGATTTGGATCAAATAACATCTTTGGTTGAGGAAGCTCCTAGTAAGGCTGCTCGGATCTGAGGTTAGCACCCATGGAGAGATAGGAAGCCTTTAAGTGGCAGACCATCTCAGGAGAATTCTTCAAAATCTGAAGATTAGAGTAGTAAAATAAAGAAATAACTTTTCATGCCTAAAATATTTTTCAGTCAAAGGATAACCAGAAAAAGATATAAATTGAAAAAGTGAAAACTTCTCTGTTGCAACACTAGATAATTTCCTAGCTACATTTTCATTACACCTGGTGAGAACTGGAAATGGTTGAAAGGTCACAAAGCACTGCTAAAAGGCAGATAAATACATGAGGAGCAATTTTTGGACAATTGTTTCTTTCATTTCTCCTTGATGAAGAGTATAGGAGGGGAGGTGGGTCTAAGAAAAGATACATGTACAGTAGAACTTCAGAGTTATGCACACCTCAGGAATTCCAGCCTGATTTTGACCCTGACTGCAGCCTGGTATTACCTCTGACCTCCAGTCTCTGACTCTGGCCTGACTCTGACCTCTTTTCCTGCCTCCTATTTCCTGCCTGGTTCTGTCTCTGATGGGAAGGTTACTAATCTTGAGCAGTAACTGGAGTTCTTCTTTGAGATGGTTGTCCCTGTGTGTGTTCCACCGTAGGTGCTTCAGCGCCACTCAGCGCCACTGAGGTTGGAGATTTGTGACAGCAGTACTCCTGGCCGGCCATGTGCATGGGAAGCTGTGTGTGTGTGTGTGTGTGTGTGTGTGTGTGTGTGTGTGTGTGTGTTCGTTCTGAGGAGGCAGCTGTGCATGTGCAGCTTCCCCCCTTCTTCCTCAGTTCCTTCTCAGACCTGGGTGTGTTGTACCCAAAGCAGAGGGGAGGAGGGTTGGTAGTGGAGCACCCATGGGGACAACCATCTCTAGGAACTCCAGTTATTGCACAAGGTGAGTAACCTTCCCTTCTTTTTCGAGGAGTGTCCCCATGGGTGCTCCACCTTAGGTGACTATGAAACAGTATTCTTATTAGGAGGCAGGAGCTTCGGCTGCTGAGGATCTGTGATGGACAATATTGTTTATTCAAATCTTGTATCAGCCTCAACAAATGTTTTGATTGCATAATGTTGCATAAAAATATGCATTGATGCCCATGTGGTGGCCCTGCATGTGTGTTCTGTAGGCACCCCATGTCGGAATGCTGTTGTGGCTGCCATGGCTCCTGTTGAGTGAGATCACATGTGGTGCCTCTCTCTGTTCTAGGGTATATGCCAGTTTTATGCAACCAGATATCCATTTTGATAATCTCTGCTTTGATATGGGTAGTCCCAGTGATCTCTCTGTAGATGAAACAAATAGTTGTGGAATCTTTTAAAACAAAATATAATAGGGTACAGGTAGCAAAGGGCCCAGTGCCGCTTCTGAGGCTTTGCGTTTTGCCTCTTGCAGCTTCTGTGAGGAATGCTGTGAGTGCTTTGGGTTCCATCTTTTTTCCTTAAAAAGCGACGAGGAGTCCTGTGGCAACTTATAGACTAACTTTTTTCCTTGTTGGTCCCAGTTGCCTGCTTCTTGTCAGACCCCATTTGTGGGGTTGCTGTTGTGGCATTTTTGTGGGGAGCACGCTTCCTCAATGAGGAGTCAGTCCCAGAGGAAGAATAGGGCCGTTTCTTATTTTTGTTGTTTTCACAGTCCCTAGGGCTTGACTCTGTATGCACCATTACTTCCGACTCTGTCCCAGGTGATATTTGTCTGGAAGGAGTGGATTGCTCTAAGTCAGATTCTGACTGAGCTTTTTTCTCTATTTGCAGCATTTTGAGCTGTAGCTCCCTCGATCTCCTAGATTTGGCTGTAAGCTTTGGGCAACGTGCCCATCAGAAATTGAAAAGTATAGCCTGCAGCTCATACACCTTTAAATCCAGGTGAGCCCAGCATAGCCTAGAGAACCGGCAATGTGCAGGCTTAGATGGTGGCTTCTCGAGCTTGTCTGGCGATGCATCTTTTTTTTTTTAAGAGAGTAAAGAGGATAAATCAATTAGGAAGGATTTCTGAGATAAATTCTATGTAGGTGATAGGTAAAGGATGAGGTTGAAGGGAGACTGCTGATCAGCGACCACAGCTGACAGAGGTAGAGAAGGACTAGGGGGGCTGGCTGCGCTTGTGCAGCAGCCATCTCAGAACACACACATGGGTTACCAGGCACGTGGCTGGCCAAGGGTACTGCTGTCACAAATCTCTGACCTCGAGCTCAGCAGCGCTGAAGCACCTAAGGTGGAGCACCCACAGGGACACTCCTTGAAGAAGAACCTGACCTTACTTTGATCTTTAACTGTTCCCTAATGAACCTGACTCTAGCAATTCCTCTGATTCATGGTCCCTATTATCCCTGACACTTGTGGATTGTAGCCCAACTATGACTGCTAGGCCAGACTGCCTATACCCTGCTCCATTTTGTAGCTGTTTCTCTCTTGGAAGCTTTCAATCACCACGATCTCAAGGACAACCGAGCACTTACAGACAGAGGATCCCCGTAAAGGGCTTTTTCTGTACTTTGATCCAAAACCAGTTTTACAACTCAGTCCATCATAAGTTAACTTTATTTCATTTCCCTGTTTTTATGGGATTTTCTCTAAAAATAAAAATGGATTTTACACTTGCTGGGCATGAGACATTCTCCCAAGCAATGAGTGCAGTAACAGAATGAGCCTCTTGACAAGAGAGAGGCCTTTTATATCCTAGGGAGACCAGCAACCCCAAAAGGAAAAAAAATTGTTCAAATCCCTCAATGGAAAAAAATTAACACAAAAATGTGCATGCACAGCTGTTGACAGCATTGTGGTGCCCTTTGTCAAGGTGGCAGAAGGATTAGCCCTGCAACTGAAGACACTTTATAGTTAAAGGTTAGGATTTCCAAAAGATAGTCTGGTGCCCAAATTCCATGGGATATGGCTGCCTAACTCCCTTAGGTCTCCATGAAAATCCCAGGTTAAGAGATTAACCTGAACACAATTCAATTAATAACTATGATTTACTATATTTTTTCCTTTTCTCCTGCCCGGTTTCATAGATTTACACATTTTCATATCTGAAATTCTCACCTTCATAGCTCTCTTTGTTAGCTAGACACTGAACATTATACCATACATTTGCTCTGAAATAATCATCCTGTGAGAAAGAGGAAAATGCATAATTAAAATAATTAAATCCCCTGGTGATAACTTTTCTGTACATGAATAATAGGTTCATTTACATTAAAGAATCCTTCAAAGACACTATAGGTTACAGGGGGGTTGGGCTTGATCAATAGCATAGATAGGTGTAAATACAACTTGATGGAGAAAGATGAGTTGGAAATACAGCCACCTCATGAATCTCCAAGTCAGGACTCAGTAAGACCTGAACACAAAGCTGTAGAAGGTGTAATTTTTCTGATATATGAAACCCAAGCCATGATAAATGGTAGTCATTAAAAGATCCCTTGATAATGCTGTTCAGTGTCCACAATAAACTGTGAGAAAGTAAATTGTGCTTGCGTATAATTGCCTTTGAAGTTTCAATCAGGTGCAATATTATTTTTTATAGCCTGATTTAACTTAAAATGTTTTTGTGAACGGTTAGGCAATTGTGGTGTTTTAACCCAGAAACTTAAAGTACTTCTGTGGGTTTTTAAAAATACTAATTTCACTGGTGTGAAGTGATCTTACTTTGTGAACATGAAAAAGAAACAGAAAGTTAAGACGACTGCTTTTCCAAAGTCTCTCACCCTTTCAAAGCCACAGAAGCTAGGTTTGTTGAACTGGGGGGGAAAAAAAGCAAACATTAGTAAATCTAGTATGCAATCATGTAATTACATGCACCAGGGGATGAAATTAAGGTTGTATACACAGCCTTAATTTTGAAATTTACTAAATGTTGAAAGCTTGACTTTGCAACCTTAATAATGTTAATTTAGCATAGTTTTTTTGTGTGTGTAATATACACATTAAAATTACCAATAAGGGAGGGCATTTCTTGGCAAACCATGAACAATAATTTTAAGCATATTCAATTTCTCCATCCAGGCATTAACAACTAAGAAATGTTTTCTTATCACTCCATCATTAAATGTGACATGATTAACAGAAATGACAGATGCTTTGAGCTCCAGGGTTTAGATCCTAATTTGCTTTGGAACTTCAAGTTGTTGAGACATTTGATTCCAAGGCTTTGATTCAGGCCTATCACCAATATAAACTGACTGAAAAATCACTGGCTCTCCAGTCTGCAGTAACAAGTTGTAGAAGCATGTTCAGTAAAAATTATTTAAAAGTTTGTGGGATTTGTTTTGACAACTTATAATTAGAAGGTTTTAATTATATACATATTTCAATTACAGTGAGTCTAATTTTAGTCTCAACTTCATTTTGTAAATTTATAGAAGCACATACAGCCAAATTCAGTTCGCCGCTATACCCATACAGATCACTATTCATTTGATTATATGTAAATAAGGGCAAAATTTGGCTAGTGATACATACTTTGAGCTTTAAAACAAGATAAGTTAGTAACCATATCAGGCCAAATCCTTACATCTTCATAAATCCTTGCTCAGACAAAATTACCATTTAGTGAGTGTGTGACCCTCAGAAACCTCCATGCCAACTGACAGAGTTCTCTATTCTGTAAAGGTATGTCTACACTTGTACCCTAGTTCAAACTAGGGATGCAAATGCAGGCATTCGAAATAGTCAATGAAGCGGGAATTTAAATATCCTGCGCTTCATTAGCATGATCTCACCGGTGCATTACTCCAAATGCCAGCTGATTTGAAAGTGAAAGTGCATGCCGGGATGCGTTAGATAGAACCAAACCCCTTGGTTTGAACTAATGTTACTCCTCTAAGTAGAGCATCCATTCAGTGTGAACGCTCTATTGCGCAAAAGCACATCGCTTTTGCGATGCGCTTTTGAGGTGTGGACGCTCTTTTGCGCAAGATGATTTTGTGGAAGATCTCTTCCACAAAAAGCTTCTTGTGCAAAAACCCTGCAGGGTAGACAAAGCCTAACAATAACTCCTATCAAGCCTGATGCACTTCCTATACCCAAAACACTGCTTTCATGGTATTTACCCATTAGTCGTGTCACTTAAAGTATTAAATCAAAGTCAGTGAAACACTCATCAATAATATCATTTTGAAATACATGTATTGATACTGTATAAGAAGTTCTGGATACATACTGAAAATATATTTAAAGTCTGTAACAAGCAGAGTTGACAAATGGGTTTTTTGCCAGATGAAGCATGCCTAGTCACCTATCCCTGTCTCAGGTAGAAATTAAGCATGGTGATGCAAACACAGAGGAAGCTACATGCTCATTCCAGGTCAGAGACCTGTGAAGTCAATGGGAAAGAAGCATGCTGGAAAATGAACAATGGGGAGAAGTGTTTTATCTGGGGATGCATGTCAAAAGAACACATTTCAAAGATTGACTAGACTATATCTGTGGGAAAGAGACAGCAGCTTGTTAACTAGCATGCACTTAGATGCTTTGCTTTGCTGGATAAAGGCCAAAGGGCTCAGCATCTTGTAGAATCGAGTTCTAAGTGATGAACCAACCTTCCATGTACCACTACAGCTGATCAAATGAATTGGCCTTGCCACAAGTACTTGTGGCACAGCCAATTATTTGCTAACAAGAATCCAATCCTTTTGCTATTATGGAAAAGCAACTCTGGTCCACCCTTTCATATGTGGATATCAGAACATACAAATTGGCAAGTGTGAAAATAAGGCCAACTGGATAAAGAGCATGGAATTAGGACTACGCTTTTGCTGCTTCAGCTTCAAAATTAGGGACGTCGACGTGTAGTCTACTATACGATTAACCAATAAGCCTAGGTTTGTCGGTTAATCTTGTTGACGACGCGCATTCCAAAGAGGCAGCAAGGGGGGAAGCAGGACCCGCTGTTGGGGGGAGCTGGCTTAACAGCTGGTTCTCCCCAGCACCAGCTCTACAGTGCCCGCTTACCTCCCACTCCATACTGCTGCCTCTATCAGGGGAGGCTGCCATCTACTATACGATTAACCAATAAGCCTAGGTTTGTCGGTTAATCTTGTTGACGACGCGCATTCCAAAGAGGCAGCAAGGGGGGAAGCAGGACCCGCTGTTGGGGGGAGCTGGCTTAACAGCTGGTTCTCCCCAGCACCAGCTCTACAGTGCCCGCTTACCTCCCACTCCATACTGCTGCCTCTATCAGGGGAGGCTGCCATGTA